CCCCCCCCCCTGGTAATGCCAACAACCTGTTTTTTTTTAAACAAAATTTGGACTCTGATTGCCACACACTTAGCGCCGGTGATTAAGACACAAAAGCTCAAATTTTGGCGACGAACAAGAGAAATCGAGCGTAAAAACCACACCCCACCTGTGCATCCGACACATAACTCTTTGTTGTGACCTATGCTCGACGGTGGCCGCGGATGAATCAAGAAGGAGCCTCGGGCCCAGATTGACGATTCTTTTAGCGCGGGCGCCAAATCTTCACGCACCCCACGCCCGTGTCCCCTTTCCTGGAAACCCGTTTGCGTTTTTCTTAGCCGTGGAGGCAGACAGCACGGTGCACCTCGTTCGATCCCAGGCGCGAGCGGCCCCGGCGACGCCGGCGGCGGGGGGCGCTGCAGGAACGAACCCCTCCCCGTCCGCGACGAACCCACTCGGCGGAACTCCCCCAGGGGGGGCCGGGGGTGGGGGCGCGAACCCGTTCGCCGAGATGATGGGGAGCATGGGCGGGGGCGGGATGGACATCAACCGGATGCAGCAGCAGCTGATGTCGAACCCGGAGATGATGGCGAACATCATGAACTCGCCGATGATGGAGGTGTGTGTGAGGCGGGGGTTTAACTCATCGCCGTGCATGTCGTAGTCGTTAGACCACTGACCTCGCATACCTACGAAGTCGGGACGGAGCACGCCGGGTTCGCGCCGGGGCGGCGGGGGCGGGGCGAACTCGTATGTTTTGCATGCCTTAGCTGTAGACCATTGACCACGCGTCCTCGAGAGGACGGAGCATTGTTCCCACAGGACCGATCACCGATGGCCAATACTTCCTTTCTACTTTGCCNCTATCCTAACGATATCCCTTCCCGCCTTTTCAACCCACCTCCTATGCCCCAGTACAGCTGCCATCCTTTCCTCTCTATTCCATGCCTCAAACAACTCCCTGTACGTCCTATCTATTTTTCCCAGCTCAGTCACGTACACTTCCCTCTCCTTGTAGTACCACGGACATTCCGCGACTACATGAACACGGTCTTCGCATTCGAAGCCGCAATCACATTTGAACTCGTCGTCTTCGTCGTCTACCGTCCTATGTCTTCGTCGACGTTCTCGAAGGCCTATGTCCCCGGCCCTGGCTTTGACCTTAAGCTTTGTTCCTGCATTCATTGGTCCATGTAGGTAGTCCTTGTACCCTATTCCTTCCTTCATCATTCCGTACACTTCTAGATCCTCCTTAGCCTTGGATTCCTTCCTTAGATTCTGTTCTTCTCTCTCGGCACAAGCAACAGATAACTTCTCCTTGAAGCCCTGTAGACCCTCCGTTTCCAGCGTTTCATCTTCGTCGATGTCGAGCCCCTTCCATACGTCCTCTACAACCTTGACCCATTCCGTGGGTTGTCCACCCCTCTTTTTGTTTGCCCACTTCGCCTCCCATACAATTCTCGGCAACCTCTCCTCTCCCATCCCGCACATGCGATACTGTAATGTCAGCTTACTCGCGTCTCTTCCCGACCGTGGGGATTGGATCCCCAATTCTGCCCTGACGGCTACATTGCTTGTGCGCTTGGAGCATCCTAGGATGATTTTCGCTGCTTTCATCTGCGCCGCCTTGAGTTCTTTCACTACCTTCTTATTTCCTTCCCGTACTTGTC